TCAAAGAAAAACATTTAAAAAGCAAATTAATTAATTTATTTTTAGAAATAACAGCAAAATGAAATAGGTACATTGATTACTTATAGTTATTTACGAATGTTTCTAAATTAGGAGCTTTAGGTTTTTGTTATCTTACTTTTGCGTATAATTTTAACAAAAAATACATTATAGGAAAATTTTGATTGATGGTTGAATTTAATTGTCTGAAATAATTTAACGAATTTACATAATATATTTTCATTTAAGGAAACAAAATTGTTCTGAAAAATTTTATAAAAAAACTTTTTTTAAAACAAGTTTTTATTTAAATGCACTAAAAAAATAAAATAAACTTTTTCTTTAAAACTTTTATTATGAACTTATAACGTCATTACACAATTTTAATATTATATAAAAGCTTGTCGCGAGATTTGAGTGTACAGTTGCACTCATAAAATCTGGTTACGACAACTTTTATCTTACATAATTCCTGGTCTAGTGGTCTATCATAACACAAACTTTGAAAATGAGACAGGGTGGACTACAGGTTTTAGTTAATTACTTGTTTATCGATGTAGAGAAATCTCGCGACAAAGCTTTTATATATCTAATATTAAAATTGTGTAATGACGTTTCTAAGTTCATAATAAAAGTTTTAGAGAAAAGAGTTTATTTTATTCTTTTAGTGTATTTAAAATAAAGCTTGTTTAAAAGTTTTTTATAAAAGTATTTTTCTACACAGTTATGCTGGTTTCTCAGTGCCCCACACTTAAACTCAAATGTTTTCTTAAATAACTTTCTATGGGTATCCTAATAATATGTATATCGATTTTCATTAAAAAAGGAGAACTTAAAAAAAACGACAGCTGTCAAATTTGACAGTTCAAATGTGAGAAAAATAAAATGAAAACCGACTATGGGGTAGGGAGCATCCAATATATCGATTTTTATCAAAATCGGACAAATTTGAAATTATTTGACAGCTGTCACATTTGACAGCTCAAAATTTTTTTCTTTCATTTTAGCCCACGGCCATCATCGATTTTTATCAAAATCGGACAACTTTGAAATTTTTTTGACAACTGTCAAATTTGACAGCTCAACATTTTTTTTTCATTTTCGCCCATGGCCGTCCTATATATCAATTTTTATCAAAATCGGACAACTTTGAAATTTTTTTGACAGCTGTCAAATTTGACAGCTCAAATTTTTTTTCTTTCATTTTAGCCCATGGCCATCCTATATATCAATTTTTATGAAAATCGGTTGACTTTGAAATTTTGACATGTCATTAAACTGTCATTTTTTCAAGATGGCCGCCCATATATTTTTTTTCATATGTATATACCCACAATATACCTATACAGGTTGTTAAATTGTTCATTACTCGCGGCAAGAGTTTTATGGTTGAAATAACCTCGGCCCGCTCGTCGATAGACGACGCGACGGGACGAGTCGGCAGAAAAATCAATAATGCATACGTTCTCAATAGGCAGTGTTGCCATTCTGTTTCCCTATAAGTAACTGTCGAGTTAACAACCTGTATATATAATATATATATATATATATATATATATATATATATATATATATATATATATATATATATATATATATATATATATATATATATATATATATATATATATATATATATATATATATATATATATATATATATACTATATATATATATATATATATAATTTCAGCCGATCCATTCATAAATAGGGGTGTAAAAATCAAAAACCTCAACCAAACCAAACCTCAAAATGCCGCCATTTTGACAGCTGTCAAAAATTCGGGTCATGCCTTGCAAAAAAATGTATTGTCATCGGGACTGAACCTACATGCCAAATTTCAATCTCCACCACAATAAAGGAAGTGGTTTAATTTAACACAAGATTTGCCCCGAGACAAACATACATACATACATAGATAGTTACATACAAAGCAAGTTAAATAGAAGCTTATAAAATAGCCTCAATGAGGAAACTAAATAAAAAAATGGTCACTTGGCATTGTAAAAGCCTCAAATAAGTAGTCTTCATCGTTTTGAAAAGCTCTAAAGTGTAAATATACTTTTGAATTGAACATTAATTTTGAATTGAATTGAAAATTAAACAGACTATATTTTGAATTATTTCCATAATTATTTCTGCAATCAGCAGCCGCACATCCCGGAAAACCTTTTCCCATTCAAAATGCACAAATACCTATGGTTAAATATAAGAAAAAAAATCGAATTAAAATCTTCCGTAATACGGCCCTACGCGCCACCGGTGGAGGCTATGCATCGACTGAATGAGGCTGACTGTCGGTCGCTTAATTCAGTTAGCGCATCGTCGGAGTGGGGCGTTTTAAATTCGAGCGTGGGAAAAATTGGCGAGTGTCAAAGCTATGTTATTCTGTAAGCTGTGCTTATACCTAGTAACTTTTTACCTTTAAGATTTCATTCGAAGCGCTAAAAGCACTTGGAAGAAAACTACTAGTATAGCTCCTGTAGCTACAAAACAAATATCCGAATTGAACCTATGTTGATATAATAAATAAATCTTATTTTTAAGTTTTTGAAACACCCTTCATAAGTAAACACTTAAATTATCATTGGTAGAGATTTTATGTTCATAAAATGCTTTGGTTTATATTCTTAGATTTCTTTATTCTTGTTAGATTATTTAATTATTGTATTTTTTTGCTTAAGAAAATTTTAATATTACAAGATAAAGTACTAAATAATTAACGAAACTTATTACTTAATATTTTGTAATATACAGAGTTGTTCACCACATACGATGCGGAGTATTGTAGCTAAACTCTTAGATTTTTGCAAATTGTAAGTTTTGGGTTCGTTAAGGACTATTAGAGCTACAATTTAAAAATATTTTTACAAGATACAGAGTGGCCCAAATAAATAAAAAATATCGAAGTTGTATTTTTTTAAATGGAACACCCTGTATATTATTACATTTTTAGTTTCTACGATTAAAATAAAGATAAATTTGATTAAGGTTTACCGCATTTTAATCTTACCGTTTTTGAAATATTTAGGTTTTTGTCAAAATACAGTAATAATTTTAATGCTTTATTTCTCCAGGCGTATTTAAGTTTTTAAAACCAAATATTGTACTGAAGTATTTCTATTTACTAAATTTTGTGTTACAATAATAAAAATTATACTACCTTATACAGAGTGTCTAAAAATTTATTTTAAATAATAACTAGCTATAAACGGCATTAACTTCTTTAATTTAAATGGAACACCCAGAGTATATTTTATGATAATCAGATGCACAATTTAATTGTCTATCAAATTGTATTATATCATTTTTTACGTATGTCTTTAGGTTTTCGTAGAAAATGCATTTTCTTATAATTTAAACCTCAATTATCAATATACCCATGGATATTGACATTTTTGATTATTTTTAAAGATGTAACAAATTTTTAAAGAGTATAGATAATAATTGTCGATATAGTTCATTTATGTCATTAAAAAATAAAAAAAAATGTTTAAATGTTTGTAAAGGAAGACCAATTAATATGATTCCAGTATTCCAACTTCATTAATTGACTGTTTGCGTTGATTAATAATAATTGCTCCAAATACTAAAAAACTTAATTTTGTATGTGTTTTAGACAGTGTGGTAAAAAGTAACACCACAGACTAACCTAAAATTTAGTTTGTGGTAACACCTTAAACATTTTATTTAATTTTTTGCCGGATGCTTATTTATAACAACAGAGACGTCCATTTTGATAACTTATTATTATATTGATTTCTGATTCCAAATCCACATTTATTTAGAATAATTTATTAACTAACACAACTAAATATGTAATTAATTAATATTTGGGCGGAAATAATGGTGGTATATTTAATTAATAGTATACTCTTTTATAAAGACTTAAATAGTTTTATTTTTGTATAAAAATAGGTTGGTAATATTATTGTTTTTAGCACCTGTACATTTGCTGCTTTAAAAACAATCTAAAATGTCAATATTCCATGGGTATATTGATAAATGAGGTCTAAATTATAAGAAAATGCATTTTCTACGAAAACTTGAAGGGATAGGTAAAAGTGGTATAATACAATTTGATGGACAATTAAATTGTGCATCTGATTCTCCTAAAATATACAGAGTGTTTCATTTAAATTAAACAAGTTATTATTAGAGAACCTTTAGTTTTTAAACAAGTTATTGCCGTTTAAAGCTAGAAATTGTTTAAAATAAATTTTTAGACATCCTGTATTAGGTAGTATTATTTTTATTATTGCAACACAATAACTGATCAATTATTAAACTTCAGTAAATATTTTGTATTAAAAACTTTGATATCCTTGGAGAAATGAAGTCTTAAAATTTTTACTGCAATTTCACAAAATTGAAAATATCTCAAAAACGGTATGGTTTAAGGGTGATATACCTTAATCAAATTTACCTTTATTTTAATCATAGAAACTAAAAATGTAATAATATACAGGGTGTTCCATTTAAAAAAAAATACAACTTTGATATTTTTATTTATTTGGAACACTCTGTATTTTGCAAAATTATTTTTAAATTGTAGCTCTAATAGTCCTTCAACGAACACAAAACTTACAATTTGTAAAAATCTAATCGTTTAGCTACAATACTCCGTGTCGTATGTGGTGAACAACCCTGTATAAACACCGTTGTTTCTTAGGAAGAGTATATAAAATGTAAGTATATTTTGATTTTTATGTGTTTTGTTTTAATATCGATATTCCTAGAATATTCATTTAATAAACCGACCAAAAAATACACACACTATTTAACTATTTAATGGAATATCAGTTATAGTTATAGTTACGTTAGTTGGAAATTAAACTATAAATAGTTGGATAAATATTTCTGTTTTCTATATCAATAATATTTTGATATTTTATTTAATTTTTTAAAGCTACAATTTATGCCTTTAGCATTTCTTAGCTATAAAAGTAGTTTCAATTAAGTGTTCTTTTTTTATCTTAACCCAGATACGAATGGAAATACCTGCTGGCATATGTTCGTCGTGGGATGATGTGTGCATGTGTTGCCCGCCGCCACTGCCGCCGCGCACGCCGCTGTGCCCGGCACTTTGAGCTGCTCCTGCTTGTAGTCGGGCTGGTAAGGCAGCAACATTCTTATTTTGCCCCAACGGTTGAAGAAGAGAGCGATGGCCCCTATCCACACTACAAGGACCAGGAGGACTATACCTATTTCTACTCCTCTTACCTATTCAAGAAAAATATCTTAATTAGCGGATTATTACTAGAGTTTTATATACCGGGTGCGTCTCAAAAGTGGCTTACCCCTATAATTTCATTTAGTCAGTTAAAAAAATGAGATTTGGTATGTTAGTATATGATGTAAATTAGGATTAATTGATGTATTCAATTGTTTTTGGTCACTTCCTGTTTCATCGGAAATTACTTTTGAAAGTTTTGATTTTTCAATGGCACACTAGGTATATTGCTACTTTACTGGATAGAAAATGATACTCTGAATAGAATAACATATCATATGTCAATTTTTGACATTCTCGCATATGGTCTATTTGAAATTGTAACACGCGATATGAAACGACAATTTGAACCGAAATAGTGTGTGGTACCAAATTATTTGTAAAAAAATGCTTTTTCGAAATATGCTAATGAGCCACCCTTGTTCCATTTGAAAAAATTGAGATGTGATTAAAAATACGATTTGGCCATCTTTTAACTGGCTAGGACAAGACACGAAAAACATTAGGCGATCAAATCTATTTTTCCAAGGTTCCTTGATTAAAAAATTAGTGTTTTTAACACAGCCATGACACTATATTGAAATTTAAAATTCAATTTTATTTTAAGCGAGAATGTCAAAAAAATACATATGATATGTCATTCTATTCAGAATGTCAATTTCTATCGAATATAGTAGAAATATACCGAGGGTGCAATTTAAAAATCAAAGGTTGCAATCATTTCCGTTGAAACAGGAAGTGACCGAAAACAGTTGAATACGTCAATCAACCCTAATTTATGTAATGTACTAACATACCAATTCTCGTTTTTTTATCTGAAAAAATAAAAAAGTTATAGGGTGAGCCACTTTTGAGACGCACCCGGTAGAATATAGGAAATATAGAATAATATGGAAAATAGGAAATATCCGATTTTAGGCCGTTTTAGTTTGACCTAGGACATACCAAAAGTTTCTATAGTTGTTGGGAACTTTGCAAAATTCCTAGGCTATACTAAGGTGGGTGAACCATAGAAGAATTCTTGTCTTGAAAATCAATTTCTGATGAATTCTTGTCTTGAAATTCAAGACAAGAAATTTTCAAAGTCTTGTCTTGCAGATTTCTTGAATGGCTAAGTCTTGTCTTGTCTTGCAAGACTCTTGAAATTTCTTGTCTTGAAAAATTTTACATTCTAACAAAAAGGTAATAAATGGTATACAAAATGTAATACCGAAAAATGAACAACAGCGATGCTAATTTTAGTAAAAAAAATCTTAACGGACCGCAAACAAACTACGCCAACTCGCCCGTTTAACGAAACAGGAGCCATTACCAAATAAAAACTGAATAAGTATAAGAGGATATAAGTAAAGGTTAAGGTCGATTCATGGGTTTTGGGTTATTATTTCGTACCTAACCTTGTGCGTTCATTATTTAGTTCTAGTTGTTAATTCTTTTTAGTTTATTATGTTCTATTTTGGTTACCCGTTTGTTACTTTCATTTTTTATGGTATTTATTTTATTTATTTATTATGGAAGATTGGTTGGAAAAGTTTGGACACAGGGTGTGAGGAAAGGTCATGCTAGAGTGTACTATTTGCGCTATTTGATACTACTTTTTGTTAGCGGAGCAATTTCGTGTATGAAAAGTAGTACCGAATAGCGCAAATGGCGTGCTCCAAGAATCCACCATTATTTTCGACTACCGTTAGTTTTTTTTATAATACCATTATACCAATATAATTTTGTGTATAAAACCAATTACCAATATACGGTTTTTTGCCTCGACTTTATTTTATTTCATTCTCAATTCTAAAACACTGGCTATGATAGAAAAAAAAATGAATACTGATCAATATTAATGCCGGGTTTATACAACATTTGCATAAATCGTAATTATAATCACAGTCTTAATCATCGTCATAATTAAAGGCTAAGTTCATGGTAGATGTCAACAGGTTTATAAGAAGTGGATCGTTTAACTTTTATGATTATGACTATGATTGTAATTACGACTATGTAAATGTTGTATAAACCCGGCATAACTTGCGCAAAGACTTAATTATCAGTTAAAAATATGTATAATCTCTAACTTTCAAGAAATCTTGCAAGACTCTTGAAATTTCTTGCATATTAAAGTCTTGTCTTGAAATTCAAGACAAGAAATTTTGAAAGTCTTATCTTGAATTTCTTGCAAGAGTCTTGGTCTTGAAGACTAAGGAAGGAGCATAATGCTATCCATGTATTCATGCGTGGTGGGCGGAAAAAGCTCTCTAGGGTGGGGATCCTTGACAGTTCTGTTTGACGATTCATTTGACACATTTGAATTTGATTTGAAATTTTGTGGATTTGTCAGTCTTTACGGAGCTTATTTTATGTTATTTATTATTTATTCTACTACTGATAGTTGTATAAAGGTAGTAAATCTAGATGGAAATTGTGGCAGAACTTAAATTAACAGTGACACTATCGCGATTTATCGAAAAAGACTCTAAAATAGTTGGAGGCAGAAACGTAGTGTGGCAACATTAATCGTCATGCTGCATATCATGCAGCAAACCATTACCTGTTTTGTCGGTTTTTTGGGCGCGAGTCAAAGGAGCGGTAATATAAGCACGAGTGACTGACGAGTAATTACGCAAGCGGAGCAGAATGTGGGCGGAGAAGACAACATTGCGGTAGCACGAGGAATAGGGCGATGAGCAGCGCGAAGAGCATAAGCTTTGTTCGGGTTCTTGTTATTACTGATCCTAGAACTCTGCAGCGCATGCGCAAATGAAATAATGTCTTTATATTTCCTTCTGCGCATACGCATCACAGTTCTAGGACGGTTCAGAATCGGTCGAATAAGAGAAACCCGAAGTAAGCTATAGTGTGGCAAAGGCAAGAAACACAGACGCGGCGGAGAGTCACTCGCGTCGCTATTTTATTAGTGCGATTCCTCGCTTCGTAGACTTCGGCTGTCGATGTAAAATTGTAACTCGCGCGTACGGGAAAAAGTAAGTTTTTATGTAAAGAAGTAACCTATTATTATCTTATTTTCTTGTACTGTAAATTATAATATAAATATTTGTTATGATTCTATAAAAATAATAATTTTGCTTTGATTTCAGTTAAAATATCGGTAGTGTACCTATGAAAGCCGGTGGTTGCTTATAAGGCCAATAAAAAATTTGACAGTAGGCGTTGCTTGGGTACATGGGCCTTACTAGGTACATCTACAAAACATGAAAATATAAACACTTAGTTTTTAGTTATAAATACGTATATTTCAAACGTTATTTTGTTTCAAACAGTAACAGGAATAAAATGTTGAAAACTATTCATATATTTAAAATTAAATAAAATTTTATAAAATAAAATATTTAAATTAAATAACCTACTAGTCAGTTTATTTAACTTTTTTAATGAACATTTTCTTTAGTAGTAATAGTAGCAGGTAGTAATAATACCGTATGATCGCAAAAAATGGCTTGAAAATAAACATCGATGACACTCCACATATGGTTTTATATATAAAATGACAGCGATCTTCTTTTCATAGCCATCGCTGACGCAGTTCTTCTTCGATCATACGGTACTACTGGTGTTACATAGGTACTACTACTAGTATTAGGTACCTACTAGTAGTGGTTCTAGGTTAGAAGTGCCTAAATCAAATTTATATAACTAAATAAGTTGATAATCGCATAAAGAAATTCAACTTTTAGGAGATTTTCAACATTAACATTCATTTTTTTTTCAACATAAACATACATTTTATTTTTAACAATAATTTATGTTTATAATAAATATTATTATAATAATGCCTTTGTTCGTGGCATCATACACGCATACACGAACATTAACCCGGCCTATGGGAAATCAGAGACTCCTACTCTGAATCCACATAGGTAATTCTCAGCAGGCGCGTCCAAGTTGCGGCGGTGGGTCCAACTTCACGGAGTCGGTGGCTAAGTTCTGCTGGGGACCCAGTATTGCGGGGTATGACGCAATCCCTTTGCCCAGGGATACGGGTGAAGACCACACCGGCAGTAAAGGCGGAGAAGAAGAACTTCGGTACGGCGGACCTGGCGCAAGTGGCAACTCATGCTTTTAGGGGGAATATAAAATCACAACGGCAATGTCTGTTCCCAGATTGGGCGGTTGCAAACGGCGTCTGACCCAGAATGGGCGGCCGATACACAAGCCAGGATTTGGCATAAAGGAAGGCAACGGGATACCACCTTTATTATTAATTCCCAAGAAAATAACATGAGTGCATTTAATTAAAAATTTTCCGGGGTTATAAATAGTTCCCCAATCGGATCTCCGGGGGGAACGGCTTTAAATGTGACAAACAAAAGAGCGAATTTGAGAAAACCAATTAAGATCGGAACATGGAATGTAAGGAGCCTATTCGAGGCTGGAAAACTGGCAAACCTCATACGAGAAATGAACAGACTTAGTCTGGATATCCTAGGCGTTGCAGAAACCTGGTGGCCTGGGGTGGGAGAGTATTCTTTTACTCTGGTAATGAAGATCCAAAACACAGGAAAGGTGTGGGAATCATAATAACAAAAGGAATACTGAAATCTGTAGTGGACTTTGTTCCATACTCGGATCGCACTGCTTTATTAAAACTCAGAGCCAAGCCAAGTGATCTTAATATAATACAGGTATACGCTCCAACTGTAGATTCGCCGGACCATGATGTGGAAAGATTCTATGATGAAGTCAAAGACCTGCTCAAATTGACTAAAAAACACGACGTCAACATAATTATGGGTGACTTCAATGTCAAAGTAGGAAAGGGTAAATTTGAGGAAATTATTGGTTCCTATGGTCTTGGAGAAAGGAACGAAAGGGGCGATCGACTTCTGCAATTCTGCCAAAAAGGCATGAAAATAGCAAATACGGCGATTCAACTTCACTCTCGCCGTCTCTATACCTGGAAGTCTCCAGCGGACCGACCGGACAATGTAATACGAAACCAAATAGATTTCATCCTCATTAACCAAAGGTTCAGCTC